TACCACTTGAGCTACAGCGCCACTTCCGGTTTTCTGGTGGTTTATTGGAGATAGGAGTCTCACGGTCTCTCCTGCCCGGGCTGGCTTTGAACCGTGACCCTCAGATCTCAGCCTCCTGAGTAGCTAGGATTACAGGCGTGAGCCACCAGCGCCCGGCTGACTGTGAGATTTTTATCTCCAATTAACCACCAAAAAAGTCAGAAGTGGAGCTGATGTTGCTCAAAAACACCAGGGACAACACCCAGACTCTGAGTTCAAGTCCCAGAATCAGCACAAAAGGAAATAAGAAAAATTAGAAATTACAGAATGATTGTCATATAAAAATAGTTATGGGGGCTGGGAAGGTGGCTCAGTGGTAGAGCGCTTGCCTTGCATGCATGAGGCCCTGGGTTCAATTCCTCAGCACCACATAAGCAGAAAAAGCCTGAAGTGACGTTGTGGCTCAAGTGGTAGAGCGCTAGCCTTGAGCTGAAGAGCTGAGGGAAACATCCAGGCCCAGAGTTCAGGCCCCAGGACTGGCAAAAAAAAAAGTTATGGAGGATGGTGGGAGATCAGTTGTTCTCTTATTTCCATAACAACACAATGCCTGCTTACATTTTACCTTATTTAATATTAAAAGTCTCTGATTGGCCAGCTAAAAGGGTCAGGGCATTTCTTTAAAATAGGTCCTTATGCTGCATACTCTTATTTTTCTTATTTTTTTTCTTATTTGACAGCTTAGTGAAATCATATTTATTTAAGCAGAAATAAGCTTTCTATGTATCAGTATTTTAAGAACAAAACATAATGATCATATGGTAGTAGATGATCACATTGCTGTTGTCATTGCTTTATATTCTGAAATTCTTAACATAATTAAGTCAGAAACTTTTGAAGTATTTTAATTTCAAGAACACTATTGTTTTAAATTTAAAAAAAAATCTTCTTCCTATAGAAATCTGGTTAAGAAGTACTGTCCCAAACGTTCATCCAAAGATGAAGAGCCAAGGTAAATGACCTGCCTGTGTATTTTTGCATATGAAAAACTTTTTAAAACTTATACACCTATTATTTAACAAAAATGTGTGATTGTATTTTTTATGAAGCTATTTAAAAAGTTTGTTTTAATAAATCAGTGCTTATACAAGAGGAAATTATTGTTTATCTTGTAAACATAAATACTAAAGTAGTTTTCTAGAATGGTGGAAGTGGAGATTTCCTTTGGGTGATGGTGAGTTTGAACCCATTAGAGTCATGCCTTCTAGCCCTCTTTTTGCTTTTGTTATTTTTCAAATAGTTTCACTTTGTGCTTAAGCCAGACTGTGATCTTCCTTTTTACAGTTCCCTGAGGTTAAGTGGGATGTGTGGGTGCCATTGTGTCCAGCTCTTCTTTCTCCCCACCTCCCCCGCCCCCCTTGGCACTGTAGTTTGAACTCAGGGCCTCGTGCTTGCTATACAGGCCCTGTTACCACTGAGCCATGTTTCTAGGCCAGATTTTTATTGGTCATACTTGAAATAGGGTCTTGCTTCCTGACCAGGTACATACCTGGGCAGGCTTCACTTGTTAGGCATCCAGCAGCTTAGGACACAAAGCACAAGCCACTGAATCGTGCATTCCATGGACTTTTTTGTTTTTTTTTTGCTGCTGGAACTGGCTTTCAACAATCTCAGCCTCCAAAGTAGCCACCGGTGACCAGCTAAAGTGGGAATTTCTTTTTTCTTTCTTTTTTTTGGGGGGTCCGGTCGTGGGGCCTGAACTCTGGACCTGGGGCTGTCTCTCAGCTCTTCAGCTCAAAGCTAGCGCTCTACCACTGAGCCACCTTCTCAGCCCCTAAAGTGGGAATTTCTAAGCGTTATATTCTAGAACTCTCTTAGTCTCCAGAAGAAAAGAATTACTTTCCCACTCTTTTTGTAGTTCTCAGCTTCTGAGATTCTACACTTAGAGGAAGTAAACAATCTGGCTGGATAATTTAAAAGGATAATGAACAGTGAAAAGATTTTTAATTTTGTATATGTGAATGTGCCTGTGCATGTGTGTCTGTATGTGTGCATGCACAGTTCCTGGGGGTTTGAACTCAGGGCCTAGGCACTATTCCTAAGCTTGCTTTTTGCTCAAGTCTAGTGCTCTAGCACTTGAGCTATAGCTTCACTTCTGGCTTTTGGGTAGTTTATTGGAGATAAGAGTCTCTTGGACCTTCCTGCTTGGCTGTGATTTTCAGATCTCAGCCTCCTGAGTAGCTAGAATTACAGGCAAGAGCCACTGGTATCTGGCATTTAGGTTAGTTTTTAAGCCCTGAGTAAAAGGTGAGAAATTGCTTATGAGCTATTTGGGAGTCTGGCTGTAAAATGCAGAATCAAAAAGATATAAGACTTAACAAACACACTTGTATAATTGTTAGGATTTTTTTGTTTTGTTTTTAGTAGAACTCTGTATGAGCTGTCAATCTTTCAAAGTAGATCCATACATTGTAATATAGTGATTCTCTTTGTTTCTCTCCTTCCCTCCACACACATTTTTACCCTTATTTTTGACCCTTCTTATCCCTTTGATGCCAACCATAATGGCACTTCCATTCAGGATGTGGGCAGGCAAACAGACAGCTGCATCCAGAGCTGATAACAAAGTTGTTGTGTAGATCAGTCTTCGAGATGCATTTGAGTGGTATGATTGGCAGGTTCTGTCCTCGAGAGCAAGCAAGCACATCATCTCTGCAACAGGCTCAGCTGCCAAGCCTGGGGATCCAAGTTCATTCCCAAGCTCAGGCCAGTCAGTTGGCAACCTAAGCGATTCCACTATGCCCAAAGAGCCTACAGGTAGTATTCTTATTATTTTTTGGTCCCAAATATTCGTTTGTTTATAAGTTTCAGGCTACTTGAAGATAAGCCGACATGTACAACTTGAGTTTAATGTAGGATTCTTTCCATATGAAATCAATTTAGAACTGGTAGCTGGGATTTAGGTAGCATAATGTTTAAATTTGTCAATTGTTCAGTATAGTCTATACCTCACTAAAAATTTTATGACAGAAATAAAAAATAAATTGCACCATTTTTATTTATTATTCTTTTTTGCCAGGTTTACCTCGTGTATCGCCTTTTTTAACATCCTTAATGAGTTAAATGACTATGCAGGACAACGAGAGGTAGTAGCAGAAGAAATGGCGCACAGAGTGTATGGGGAATTAATGAGATACGCCCATGACCTGAAAACTGAAAGGAAAATGGTAATTTTTATCTGGTTACAGTAGCTGTATGGAATATTTTTTCACAGAATTACTTTGGTTTTTAAAAAAGTGTGTGATGATGGGCTGGGAAGGTTGCTCAGTGGTAGAGTGCTTGCCTTGCATGCATGAGGCCCTGGATTCCTCAGCACCACATAAACAAAAAGAAAAAATGCTGGAAGTGGCGCTCTGGCTCAAGTGGTAGAGCGGTAGAGCGCTAGCCTTGAGCTGAAGAGCTGAGGGACAGCGCTCAGGCCCACAGTTCAGGCCCCACAACCGGACCAAAAAAAAAAAAAAGTGTGTGATGAGTGGTTGGGATGGTGGCTCAGTGGTAGAGTGCTTGCCTTGTGTACATGAGGTCCTGGCTTTGATTCCTTAGCACCACATAAACAGAAAAGGCTGGAACTGGTGCTGTGGCTCAAGTGGTAGAGCGCTAGCCTTGAGCCTAAGAGCTCAGAGACAGCACCCAGGCTCAGAGTTCAAGCCCCATGACCAACCAAAAAAAAAAAAAAGTGTGTGAGCATAAATCCTTTTTTTTATTGTTTTACTAAATTTCTCTGGTATAAAAGTTATGAGCTAGACTTGCCAATTTCTGGATCCTTTTGTATTCAAGACCAAGATCCAACAATTGTAGTACACAGTCTAAAGCCTGACTATTGCATATTTTTGTTTGCCAGATACTAAAGAGTTTTTTTTCTTTTGTAGATATTTGAAAAAAAATGAAATATTTTATGGCATGTGAAATTTACATAAAATAAAATTTTTTGTTGTCCACAAATAACATTTTATTAAACTCTGATTTATTGACCTAAAGTTTGTCTGTGGTTGCCTTTGCATTACCTAGGCAGAATTGAGTATTTATGATAGAAGTTATGTTGCTTGCAAAGTTGATATTTATTACTTGATGCTTTGTAGAAAATCTTTGTTAACTCCTAAAAATTTAGTCATTATTTTAAAAGTTATATTTGAAATACTCCAACACAAAATGTATATAGATAGGTTGTACTCTTTCTGTATCTGGAGAAAGGGGTGTTTGTGTATGTGTGTAGTACTTGTAAAAAGTGAAGATCCTTTTTGGGACTCTAGAATTTATTTAGTATTTAAATGTAATAATTTCTGTTTGTTTTGCTTTGCTTTGTTTTTTTGGTGATGGTTATACTCTAGCATCTCCAAGAAGGACGAAAAGCTCAACAATACCTTGATATGTGCTGGAAACAGATGGATAATGTGAGTTAGTGTGTTTAGTTTAATTTTGTAATCTAGATTACCCTTAAATTCTGTTTACTTATATCTGTTTGAATTTAATATGCTTCAATATATGATTCGTAATTTGACAGTTTTTTGAAATTTTTTTTATCATAACCTGTAAAGAATAAACAAAGGATGTGAGATCAATATGTCATTTTGTTCTGTGTAACTCTATGAATTCTCTAATCTTTGTATCACTATAAATGTGTAGTGAGACTGTTTCAGACTTTTAGTAGTTCCTCTTAACTATATTTTCTTCTTTTTTTGTATGTTTTTTATTGTAGAAATACTGTACAGAGGGGTTACAGTTACATGAGTAAGGTAATGAGTACCTTTCCTATAGAGCATTGTTACCTCCTCCTTTATTTTTCCCCTACCTTTTAACTATTAATGAAGGAAGAAATAGTAGGGAAACCGTGATACATATTTGACTGAGAGAACCAAGATTCTAGTTCTAGAAAATTTTCTTAGGATTTAATTTCTTTGACCTCATTGTTTTTCAAATTCTTTATTGTGATTAAGTGATTACATAATTTCCCAAATTTTCCAGTATTGTGGGATAGTGATGCTTAGTTAAAGTCACAAACGCATTCTAACTTTCATGGGAGAAATTGTCTATTACGGTCTATAACATTTATGAGTTCTATGAGCTTTGACAATACAGTTATTTCTTCCACATTGGGTGATATATACATTTCTTTTGTTTTGCATAGCGTCAGCTATTCCCTCTTTCCCACTCGTTCCCTCCCTCCCATCGCTGCCATTGATTTGCTTAGTTCATTTTGATCAAGGTTCAGTGCAGCTGATGGGTCCCACTGTTGTATGTTTTCCCCTGATTCCCTCTAGTTCTGTGTCGTCCTCCTGGTTTCCCTCCGGTGTGCACATATATACCATATATGTGATCAGCAACATGGGGTTATTTAGTAGTGATTCGATCAGATGAGTGGAAGTCCTTTGTTTCTCAAGTCTTGTTAACTTTGTCGTATCACCTTACATTTTGGATTTAACATCCACTTATCAGGGAGACCATGTGCGCTTGTCTCTTTGCTCTTGGCTTACCTCGCTCAACATGATTTCTTCTAGCTCCATCCATTTCCCTGTAAATGCCATTATTTTGTCCTTTCTAATGGCTGCATAATATCCCACAATTTTTGGATCCATTCATCTATGGTGGGACACATGGGTTGTTTCCATATCCTGGCTATTGTGAATAGTGCTGCAATAAACATGAAGGTGCATGTGTCCTTGTATACTGTTTCCTGTTGTTCAGGATAGATGTCTAGAAGTGGTATGGCTGGGTCATAGGGGAGGTCAATATTTAGCTTTCTGAGGACCGTCCAGACTGCTTTCCAAAGTGGTTGTATAAGTGTACATTCCCACCAGCAGTGTAATAGACTTCCTCTTTCTCCACATCTCCTTCAGCATTTGTTGTTCGCTGACTTTAGGATGTGGACCATTCTGACTGGTATCTCAGGGTTACAGCCAGGGATGGTGAACATTTCCTCATGCGTTTCTTTGCCATTTTTATCTCTTCTTCTGAAAAGTCTCTTTAGTTCCCTTGCCCATTTACGAATTGGTTTGTTAGGTTTGGGAGGTTCTTGAGTTCCCTGTATGTACTGGATATTAACCCCTTGTCTGATATATTCCTGGTAAATATTTTTTCCCAGTTAGTTGTTGTCTTTCTAGCTTGGTTGCTATAACTTTAGCTGTGCAGAAACTTTTTATTTTAAGGTAGTCCCATTTGTCAAGTCTCTTTCCAATTTGTTGTGACCCTGTGACTCTGTTCATGAAGTTCCTGCCTGTGCCTATAAGTTCAAGTGTCTCTCCTACTCTGTCCTGCAGTAGTTTCAGAGATTCAGGTTTGATGTTAAGGTCTTTAATCCATTTTTAGTTGATGTTGGTGCATGGTGATAGGCTGGGGTCCACTTTTAGTTTTCTGCATGTGGCCTCCCAGTTTTCTTTTTCTTTTTTTTTTTTTTTGTCGGTTGTGGGGCTTGAACTCTGGGCCTGGGTGCTGTCCCTCAGCTCTTAGCTCAAGGCAAGCGCTCTACCACTTGAGCTACAGCGCCACTTCCGGTTTTCTGGTGGTTTATTGGAGATAGGAGTCTCACAGTCTCTCTTGCCCGGGCTGGCTTTGAACAGCGATCCTCAGATCTCAGCCTCCTGAGTAGCTAGGATTACAGGCGTGAGCCACCAGCGCCCGGCTTGCCTCCCAGTTTTCTTAGCACCAGTAGTTGAAGAGGCTGTGTTTCTTCCACTGTGTGTCTTTGGCTCCTTTGTCAAATATCAGCTGACCGTATGCATGTGGTTTTATTTCTGGATCTTCTGTTCTATTCCATTGGTCTTCGGGTCTGTCTTTGTGCCAGTATCATGCTGTATTTGTTATGGCTCTTTAGTAGAGTTTGAAGTCCGGCATGGATATCCCTCCCATGTTGTCTTTTTTGCCTAGAATTGTTTTGGCTATTCTAGGTCTTTTGTTGTTCCATATGAATTTTTGGACTGTTTTCTGTATTTCAGAAATGTATGTAATTGGGATTTTAATAGGAATTGCATTGAATTTGTATGTTAATTTTGGCAGTATGGCCATTTTTACTATATTAAGTCTGTCTATACAAGAGCATGGAAGGTCTTTCCATTTCCTGGTGTCCTGTAATTTCTTTAAATTTTTATAGTTTTTATTAAATAGTTCTTGTACATCTTTGGTTAGGCTAATTCCTAAATATTCAATTTTTGAGGGGGTTATTGTGAATGGGGTTGCTTCCTTTACTTCCTTCTCTGCTTGTACATTGTTGGCGTACAGGAAGGTGACTGATTTTTGTGGGTTGATTTTGTATCCTGCTACTTTGCTGAAGTAGCTTATATTTGGAAGAGTTTGGGGATGGAGTTTTTGGGATCATGAAGGTATAGTATCATGTCATCTGCAAAAAGGAATAGTTTAACTTCTTCCTTCTCTATGCAGATCCCTTTAATGTCTTTTTCTTGCCTTATTGCCGTGGCTAAGGGTTCTAGGACTATATTGAAGAGGTGTGGAGACAGTGGGCATCCTTTTCTATTCTTATTTTCTCCAGAGCTTTTAACATGAATGAATGTTGTATCTTATCAAAAGCCTTTTCTGCATCAATGGAGGTAATCATGTGATTCTTGACCTTGGATCTGTTGATGTATTGGATTACATTTATTGATTTACGTTTGTGAAACTATCCCTGCGTGTCTGGGATGAAGCCTACCTGGTCGTAGTGTATGATTTTTTTTAATGTGTTTCTGGATTCTGTTAGCTAGAACTTTATTAAGGATCTTTGCATCTGTGTTCATCAAGGAGATTGGTCTGTAGTTCTCTTTTTTGGTTGGGTCTTTGCCTGGTTTGGGGATGAGTGTGATATTGGCATCATAGAATGAGTTTGGGATAGCTCCTTCCTTCTCTCCTTCTCTGAAGAGCTGGAGTAGTATGAGTATTAGTTCTTCTTTAAAGGTTTTATAGAATTCCGTTATGAACCATCTGGTCCTGGGCTTTTCCTTATTGGAAGACTTCTGATTGCTTCCTGTATCTCCTTGTAAGATATTGGCTTATTTAATTATTTCTTCTTTGCTCAGTTTGGACAACTTGTATTTTTCTAAAAATGCATCCATTTGTGCTAGGTTTTCTTTCTTTAGAGAGTATAACTTTTGAAAATAGTTCTTTATAATTGTTTGTATGTCTTGGGTATTTGTTGTGATTTTTTTCCTATGGCATCCCTGATCTTGTTGATTTGGATTTCCTCTCTTCTTAATTTTGACAAAGGTCCACCAATTTTATTTATTTTTTCAAAGAACCAGCTTTTTGTTTGGTTAATTTTGGCTATGATTCTCCTATTCTCTATTTCATTAATTTCCACTCTTTCTTTGATTATCTGGCTCCATCTAGTAACTTTAGGTTCCATTTTTTTTTCATGTTTTTCTAGCAGTTTTAATTGCACCATGAGATTATTTACTTGGTCTGTCTCTATTTTCTTGATGTGGGCACTGAGGGCAATAAATTTGCCCCTCAGGACTGCTTTTGCTGTATCCCACAAGTATCTTTGTGATGTGTATTCATTTTCATTGAATTGTAGGAACTTTTTAATTTCTTCTTTAATTTCTTCTGTTACCCAGGTGTTGCTTAGTAGTGTGCTGTTCGATTTCCATGTATTTGAGTAATTTCTGCGGTATGTTTTGTTATTGAGAACTAGCTTGATTCCACTGTGGTCGGGATTGTGTCAATCCCCTTGTATTTGCTTAAGTTCCTTACATGAACCAAGATACGGTTTATTTTGGAGACAGTTCCATGAGCTGCTGAGAAGAATGTGTACTGTGTCGTTTTAGAGTGAAATACTCAGTAGATGTCTTGACCTCATTTTTTAGTGTGTGAAAAATGAGGAGACTGAACTAAAATATATAAGGTATATGTTTCTTTTAGTTAATCTGTAATTCTAAAAATGATCCTAATTTAAGCCTGTCAATCAGAGAAAAAAATATAGCTGGGTGCTGGTGGTTCACTCCTGTAATCCTAGCTACTCAGGAGGCTGAGTTCTGAGGATTGCCAGCTCGGGCAGGAAAGACTGTAAGATGCATCTCCAATAAACCACCAGAAAACTAGATATGGCGCTGTGGCTCAAGTGGTAGAGTGCTAGCCTTGTGCTGAAGAGCTGAGTGACAGTGCCCAGGCCGAGTTAAAGCCCCAGGACCAACAACAACAAAAATAGAAAAGAAAAATACTTTAGGGCATTGAAGTAGATAATAATTTGGGGATGGGAGTGTGGCTTAGTGGTAAAGTGCTCGTCTAGCATGCATGAAGCCCTGGGTCCGATTCTTCAGTACCACATCAGCAAAACAAGCCAGAAGTGATGCTATGGCTCAAGTGGTAGAGTACTAGCCTTGAGCAAAATAAGCTCAATGCCCAGGCCCTGAGTTCAAGCCCCAGGACTCCCCCCCCCCAAAAAAAAAAGTACAAACATTTAAAATTGTTCTAAGGTACTTGCTAATGTGTTTTTTCTTCAAAGTTCTGATATATCGTAATTGGAAAAATAAGGTATCTAAATGGAACATTAGACTCTTTGCTTAAAATGTTGTGCTAAATGATTTTTATAGTATAAAACATTCTTTTTGAACTTCTAAGTTTTGAAGCAATTTTCTATTTACCAGCATATTTTTCTGATAATTTTCAATAATTATCATGAAGGAAGTTTTTCATATTGTTTACTCTGTGATTGATAGGGGAAAAAAAGACTTGTTTAAGATTGAAAGTTGTTGAACACACGTATATATTTGTAGTATTTTTATCTTTTCCTTCCTTTTTTAAAAAAATGGCCTATTTCAGAGTTTAATCTTCTACTGTTCAATTGATACTAATAAAAGATTCTTTACCAGTGCTGATGGAGAATCAGGTGTAATAATCATCTGCTTTCATTTTTATCTTGAGTTTCTAATTGGTCTCAGTAAGACTTTTAAGGAATGTTTTTATTGATTAAATTTTAAATTGCATTCATTAGCATTTTTATTATTTGACACCTAATGAATGTGCATATGTGTTTCATTTGCACAAAACAACAGACTCCTACACTCGAGATCTTGTTGTTCTTTAAAAATTGGTGTCACAAATCATTGTCGATGATATGTGCTGACTTGCCTTTCAAACAGATGACAGTTAATAAGAAAGGTTGCAAAGTCCTAAGTAAGTGAGAATCATCAAAACTCTTCAGGGCATTGTGTGGAAAAAAGGGTGTCTTCAATCCTATAAATGCTTGTCCTTTACATGTACTGGTCCCCGGTTAGATAAAATAAGTATGATTCTTGTTTTTGTCAGGGTTGCAGTCCAGGGAAGGAGATTGACAGATTAATTTCTGCCTATATGTAGGAGCAAGTAAAGAATCTTATTTCCTAATTCTGTGACTTGTTTAGTCAAGAGAACAAAAAATTGTAGACTTCCAAACAAGTCTGCAATAATTGACTAGAGATATAAATAACTGGGACAGTGTGACATGATAATGAAATAGGCAGCCCTTGCAATTTGCATGAGGGCAGAGGAAAGCAGCATGTGAGAGAAATCTTGAAAGAATGGTCAGAGACTGAGAAGATAGATGAAGGTTTCAGTGCTAGTTAGGATGGGCACACATTTATAAGAACAGAGCCCAGAAGTGGAGCAGGTCCAGAACTGACAAGAAGTTCAAACGTGTGACCAAGGTGCTGAATGATCTTTTCTGTTTGTTTGCTTTGGCAGTTTGCCTTGATGACTAACACTTGACTTTAGGTACCAAACACCCTCTCCTCAAGTAAGCTGTACCCAGACACATTTCTTTTTCAACTGTCCCTTTTTATTAGGGAAGTAAAAAAAAAAATCCAGAACCCCCTAGCAGACTTCTTCATAGATATCTTTCATGACATTGGATTACTTGCTCATGCTCCAGTTATTTTTAGCTTCTATATTAGGAAACAGGTTCTATAAAGTAAGGGTAGAAGAACAGAGGTGGCAATTATCAGTCTGCCCACCAAAAGCATAATTAAAGAAGACATGTTTTTTGGAGTATGTCTTGAATTGTATAATGATATGCAATATTATTTAATGGTTAAGGAAATGTTTTAAAAAATACTGTTGTGCTATGAGAGTTTTACTGTTACAAGAAAATTATTATCCAGGTGTATTCCACAAATAAAGATACTTAATATAAAAATACTTTGGTTGAGCCCAGGCGCCTAACTACTCAGGAGGCTGTGATCTGAGGATCATGGAGTAAAGCCAGCCTGGGCTGGAAGGTCTGTAGTTCTCTTAACTCCAATTAGTCATCAAAAAGCTGGAAGTGGAGCTTTGGCTCAAGTGGTAGAATGCTAGCTTTGAGCAAAAGAAGCTGGGGGACAGTGTCCAGGCCCTGAGTTTGAATCCCAGGATCAGCATGAAAAAAGTTCTCTGTAACTAACCTCAATTTCCACCAAAATTAGTAGCTCATAACTGCTGGTAAATACAAAATGTCAGATCTTCTTTCTTCAGGCTACGAGTAGGCAAGAAATTGGAAGAGGCTTTCTCTGGAGAATCCCAATCAACTAGAGACAGAAAAAAAAAAAAATCATTATAGATACTGATCCTAGGGGTTTTCTAAAGAAACTATCTGACCATTTCCCCTTAAGGGAAGACCATAATTCACCAGCCTCACCTGTAGAGCCTTCAATTTACTTTTTAAACAACAGCATATAGCCAAAGATTCCCCAGACATTTAAAGAAACATCTAATTGTGCACATTAGAGATCAAAATGAATGTTCAGGAAAAAAAACTTAGAGGAAACAGGAAATGAACATTAAAAACAAGGAAAACGAACATGTTAATTTTCTCAATGGGGATAGAGGGAATATTAAATTTATGAACATAAGGTAGCCTACTATTTAAGAATATAAAGAAGACAAGGGCTGGGTGTTGGTGGCCTGTAATCCCAGCCAACTCAGTTGGCTGAGATCTGAGGATCGTGGTTTAAAGCCAGTTGCTGGGACAGTAAAGTATGTGAGGCATTTATCTAACCACCAAAACAACAACAATAACAACAATCCCACCCCCCCCAAAAAAAAACCCAAACCACAAAAGGTGGAAGTGGAGTTGTTCAAATGGTAGAATGCTAGGCTTGAGCAACAAGCTCAAGGACAATACTGAGGCCCTAAATTCAAGCCCCAGGTTCAGCTCACACCCACAAAAAAAAATTCATGTAGTAGAAATAAAAAACACACTAAGAAGAATGAGAGATGAAGTCTAAGAAATCTCCAAGACCAAAAATGGTAGGGATTATAATATAAAAGTAAAAATAATCTAAAATTAGAGGATAAACTTGCCAATTTCATTTTCAATATAATAAGCTTCCTGAATGGGTCAAACTAAGTCAAGAAAATGTCCCTTAAGTTGAAAGACATGTTTCCTGTGTACCTAACACAGATCTAATCTATACAATTTCAAAACATGAAATGGGGGGGGGTGGAGGGAGGAAGGAAGGGAGGGAGGGTCACATAGAAAACTAGAAAATAGTGGAATAGGACTTTTAAACTTCTGAAGAAAAATGATTTCTACTTAGAAATTCTATACACAGCCAACTTTTATAAATGAAAAAAAAATGGTAACATGGATTAGTGGTTTCCTAGCATGTGTAAGGATCTGGATCATTCATTCTCCAATACTAGAAAGGTGGGAATGAGTGTGGTGGGGGATGGGGAATGGTGGTAAAGGCAATTTTAGTCATAGAGACTCAAAAACTTCTGAGAAACCTAGGAGGCTGCTGTTGACCATGTTGCTGCAGAATGAAGAAGTAAAACTAGAAAGGAGAAACATGGAACTAGGAACTAGGTCTGAATAGGACAACAGTATACAGGAATCCCCAGGATCATGGAAAGGGGAAATCCCAAGGAAACAGCTATACACTAGGTCCAAGTTAAAAAGAAAGAAAGAAAGAAAAAAGAATCCTGAGAGGCTAGAAATGTGGCTTAGTAGTAGTATGCTTGCCTAGCATGCATGAAGCCCTGGGTTCCTCAGTACCACAGAAAAAGCTGGAAGTAGCACTGTGGTTCAAGTGGCAGAGTGCTAGCCTTGAGCAAAAGAAGCTCAGGGACAGTGCCCACACCCTGAGTTCAAGCCCCAGGACTGGCAAAAATAAAAAAGAATGCTCTGAGACAAGTTTAATCAAGAGAATGAACTTGACAGAATTCCTAATATGTTAGAATTAACTTTGGAGACATTTAAAATGGAGGAGGATTTATTAAATTTAAATTGGGAAGACTTATTAAAGTGCATTGGAACTATATCTATGTATGTATATATTCACATGGGTATGGATATAGATATACATATAGTGATAGAATGGCTCAGTAAGTAGCTTTTACAAGTCAAAGTTTATTTTTCACATGATCTCGGTCTAGGCAAATGATATTCCTGTAGAACTTAACAGAAACAATACCACACCCATTTGGAGGGATACTTATATTTCAACTCAGTATCCTACTCAAAAAGTATAAAAGCAAGCTGGGCGCTGGTGGCTCACGCCTGTAATCCTAGCTACTCAGGAGGCTGAGATCTGAGGATCGCAGTTCAAAGCCAGCCCGGGCAGGAAAGACCGTGAGACTCCTATCTCCAATAAACCACCAGAAAACCGGAAGTGGCGCTGTAGCTCAAGTGGTAGAGTGCTGGCCTTGAGCTGAAGAGCTGAGGGACAGCGCCCAGGCCCAGAGTTCAAGCCCCATGACTGACAAAAAAAAAAAAAAGTATAAAAGCAGGTATCACAATCAACCAATGAAATTTAAAAAGGAACAAACTAAAAATGACCTGCTGAAAGTGAACTTATAATAAAAAACATACATTTTTGGTGGTTGGGAGGGCAGGAAATGAGATTTATATTTATGTATATGAGATATAATAGGTCTCTTTTTTCCTTGATAGTCTATAATTATAGTCTGCTGCTTATAACACAGATTTGTTGTAATAGTTATTTTCTTATTTTCTAATAGTTATTTTCTAATAGTTATTTTCATAAAGACAAATTTTACTTTTAGTGTGCAGTTCATTTCTACACAACACACAGTGGTAGCATTTTAAAGTTATTTAAACAAATTAAATCTATTTTATGCCCTCAGTGTAATGTTTGAATTTTTTTTTTTTTTACAGAGTAAAAAGAAGTTTGAAAGAGAATGTAGAGAGGCAGAAAAGGCACAGCAGAGTTACGAAAGATTGGATAATGATACTAATGCAACCAAGGCAGATGTTGAAAAGGTAAGGAGACATCATCCAGTTCAGCTTTGAAATCAAAATATTGCTTGTAAAGCCAGGCATGAGTTGCTCATACCTATAATCCTAGCTATTCAGGAGGCTGAGATCAGGATTGTGATTCAAAGCTAGCTCGGGCAGGAAAAGTCCATGAGACTCCTATCCCCAATTTATCCACCAAACATCTGGAATTGAACCTGTTGATCAAGCAGTATAATACATCTTGAATAAAAAAGCTAAAGGAAGTGCCTGGTTCTTAAGTTGAAGCCGTAGTTAGTCTCTCCTCGGCCCCTCCCCCCCATACATTTCAAGAGATAAACTGCAGTGGAGAAAGGTGGCTCAGTTGTAGAGTACTTGCCTTTAATGCATGAGGCCCTGGGTTCGATTCCTCAGTACCACATAAGCAGAAAAAAAAAAGCTGGAAGTGGTGCTATGGCTCAAGTGGTAGCGTGCTAGCCTTGAGCTGAAGAGCTGAGGGACAGCGTCCAGGCCCAGAGTTCAGGCCCCACGACCAGACCTCCCCCCCCCCAAAAAAAAGAGATAAACTGCATCTAAGTCTGAAATATACAAATATCTGCCTATTAAAATATATATATATATTGACCTGAGATAATGTTGATTGATTAATTATAACATCTGAACTATATTCAAAATGTAGAAGAGAGAAGTTGACACTGGGATTGTTTGGCCCATCTCAAACTTGGGTATAAACCCAAGATGTGTCAGTTGAGAATGTACACAGGGTTTGAGGAGTGTGCCTCACCAACTTTTTTTTTTAATTGTGAAAATAC